AAAAAATTTAAAAAAAATTTAAAAATAAAAATGGCTCACTGATACACACACGGATGAAGAAACACAGTGAGCTTTAAGTGCACAATAGGACATTACTCAAACATAAAGAGAAATGAAGTCCTGATACATACTGCAGTGTGAGCGAACCCTAAAAGCATTATGCTGAGTGAACGAAGCCAGTCACAAATGACAAATATTAGGAAAAACCCAGAAACTAAACAAATGACAAATATTATGACCCCAGAGAAAAGAGTAGTGTACAGGTCACCAGAATGTATCACTGGAGACCAGGGATAGGTAGGAAGGAGCTGGGAAAAGAGAATCATTGCTGAGAAAACACTGAGCTGCTGGTAAGGGTTATGAGAAAAAACAGGAATGGAGTCCATATAGGTTTATTCCGATTAAAAAGGCTTGGTGACAGGTACAGCCTGTCGTAGGTTCGTCTTGTGACTCCAGCAGTGGACTCAGTGCGTTATCTCTGTTTGCTCCCTGCCCAGATTGGCCGGTGTTCAGCGACCTTGATAACATGGCACATGGCGACCATGACCATCCAGACAACCACCGGGTGAGTGGACAGAGAGATGGAAGCTGTGGGCCCAGCCCCAGTGGGGTGAGGGGACAGCACACGCACTCCCAGTGGGCCGGAGGGTGAACCTGCAGATTCAGAGGTGAGCGCCCTGCTCTGCTCCTGGCAGGGCCAGGAAGACCAGGGGGCAAGGGGCATGCAGTGAATCTCAGCTTCCTGCCCAAGGCAGACTTTGACCCACTGGAATAGAAAAGGCAACTGGTCCATCCCAGTTCTCAGGACTGGTTAGACTAGTTAGTGTTATGTGGCATTGAGTTGGAACCTACAGGTTTTTAGAGACTGTAAATCACTTGGAAGGAGACGGTCCATCATTCTCTTGTGGAACGGCTGAGGGATTCGAACCACTTGTCTTTGGGTTGGCAGCGCAATTCCTTGCTACTAGGGCAAAAGAGCTCCCTGGTTAGACAGGAGAGAAGCCAAACCAGCAACAGGGAGACCCTCTGATGAATGTCATCTGGCCCCAGCTTTGGTTCATGGTGGATGGTTGTCTCCTGGGCTGTCATGTAAGCCTTAACCCTGTAATAGAGCACAGTTAGCCAAAGAACAAATAAATATATCATAACAAGACATAAAGTAATAAGTATAAGCGAAAAGTAAATAAAGTAATAAGGCATCTATTAAAAGTTGACAGTTTGGTAGTAGATCTCAGCAATTTCTGTTTAATATACCATGGACTGTGTTAGGAGAACAAACAGTTCATCCTAGAGAGGGTGAGACCAGGCTGTTCCTCAGAGGCAAGGATTCTGAACCTTCATCTAACATATTTTGCACATGTTTCAAGGAGAGAGCAGTCCTTGGAGATTGATTTCATGCTTGGGAGGGTGGTGGGACAGAGCAAGAAAGGAAGATCTCAGATGGATTGATTCAGTGACTGGGGTAATAGGGCTAAGTGTGTGAGAGACAATATGGTTGGCACAGGATAGAGCAGGGTTCAGAGCCATTGTACGTAGGGTCACTGTGAGTCGTAGGCAACTCGAAAGGACATAACTAAAGCAATTTTCTATGCTTATTTATACACTTGAAATACTTTTTAATAGAATAAAGAAAGAAAAAGAAAAGTGTTCAGTTAATGATACAGGTGATGTGTGGATAGGATATGGCACAAAGTCAACATTGATAGGCAATGGGTGGATGTTTTGGATATTCCCAGTAATACCAGATTCTAGACAGTGTGAGTGTCACACTGCTAGCCAGAGGTTGGGAGTTCGAACCCACCCAGAGATGTCTGAGGTCTGCTGATCTGCTTCTGAAAGGTCACACCCTAGAAACCCCTGGGGAGCGTTTCTATTCTGTACTCCCGAGGTTGCCAAGAGTGTGAAACCATTCACTGGCAACCAGCAAAGATCATAAAGAAGATAGAAATATTATTTGTATACAGAAGACTTTGGGCGTCTTGTCAGGCTGAGCCAATCCTTGGGAGAAGACATTGTGCTTGGGAATGTGGAGGATCAGAGAAAGACGGAAGGCCCCAACCAGCATAGATTGACGTAGTGGCCGTAACGAGGGATGATCCGTTTCATTTAGGGAGAGAGCTCAGTTGCAGTAAATGTTCATTCCCGATGGCTACCTCATGATCCACAGGTCACATCCATGCACCCAGCCTTTGTTTTTCCACCTGTGAAGTAGTTGAGTCACTTTTAATAACGCTGACAACATCCACCTTCTCACAGTTTAACACCTCTTTTCATCTTCACAGCCCTTTGATGTAGGTGCCATCATTAACTCTGGTTTTATGCTAAGGAAACAGCAGTTGAGAGAGATGATGCAATTCCTGAAGGTCACAGTCGATGAGTACCAGGGCCAGGATTTGAACCCAGGCAGCCGGGCTCTCCAGAGCCCAGGTTCTTAGCGACTACTTTTCTACACTGCCTTCTTGTCCACCCACCGTGGAAGAGACCAGAGGAAGAGAACCATCATGAGAGAAAGGGAAATGGTTGGGTGGTGTCACCACCTTTTCTGGGTACTCAGAGGACCACTGAGACCCTAAGGCCAACTTCTCTCCACAGGACTCTGAGAACAGTGGGGACAGCGGATACCCCAGTGAGAAGAGGGGCGAACTAGATGACCTAGATCCTCGAGAACATGTGAGCACCCCCAGGAAACAAGAGCAAGGTCACCTTATTGTCCAAATAAGGGGAAAGACCCAAAGGGGACTCTTTAGTGAGTCTTAGACCCAAAGGGGTCTCCTAAGTGAGTCTTAAGAGCATAATAAGTACATGTATGAATAAGACAAATGGAGGCAAAATGTAAAAAGGGCAAAGAAAAGTAGAAGCATAGTGGTTTAGGCCCGTGTAGGTTGCACATGATGAACAAATCTTACGGTAAAGCTGGAGCTTTTGGTTACTAAGCTGAGGATTCTGGGTAAAATGGTGCTAGTCTGGGTAAGAAAGCCCAGCTTAACGGCGCAGAATGTTGGCAGACAGGGCTCAGCAGTTGATTTCCCTGAGTGCCCTCCTCTATTACCATGGTGAGGGTGGTCTCTCAGGCAGCATCCTCACAGTTCAGAGGCTTGTCCATGTGTCAAAACGGAATCTGTACATCAAGGCCAGTCTGACTGGGTAATCTCTGGTCTCTGCATTGTGCTTGTTGACTATAAAGCACATTTGGCTACAGGAAGGACCTGACTCCCTTTGGTGGGACTGTCTGTGCCTTTGTTCCACCCTTTCCCCCAGGGAAGGACAGCAGTAAGACCATCATTAGAGCCTCTTATCAGCATCCTCTCAGCTTCCCGCTTCACCTGGGAGAGCTGGACCAGTTCCAGGGACGAGCGTTCCCTGAAGAAGGTCATGCGGGGAGGGCTGGGCCAGTCCCTCGGAAGCAAGACCTCTCTGAGTTCATCTGACTTGTCTCCCTTCAGGGTTACTCGAATGGGCATCGGAGGTACGAGTCTGATGACGACAGCCTGGGAAGCTCCGGACGGGTAATGCGCCTTGAGCAATCTTTGTCCAGTTCCATTTCTGTTTTACCTCCTTTGTGTCCATGGTTCTTTGCCTGGCTGCCTCAGATACTTCCCAAAGGAAGGCTTTGCAAAGGAGCAAATCTTTGAAAAGACGTTTTATTGCCTTTTGGGGGAAAAGTTCATACAGCCAATTCAATTTCCATTTAGCAGTGTCTGAGAATAACTTTCCAATGGCACTGGTTGCATTTTCCATATTGTCTAAACGTTGCCATTATTTCCGAGCTGGTTGCTTTGTTTACATTATTCTTGCATCCCTATCTCACTGCCCACCACCCCAACCTTCTCATCTCTGCTTTAGGGTAAATGTTAATTTTTTGTGTGTGTTTGTTTGTTTTTTAATTATTAAAAGGAGCACAGTTCACACAGGAGATACTCTTTATTTTATGAGCTAATCTGTTACCTAGCAGAAAAGTGACATATACCACAGTAGTTTTGGTTCACTTTAGAGGGGATATCAGGGCTATACCCTCACGAGGTCTCCAGTCTATGCCATTCAAACACATCTTGGCTTTATAAAAATTTGAGTTTTGTTATATAATTTTTTACCATTCTGTCCCAAGACCACCTATTATGGCTCTGGTCAGAATGGTCCGTAGTAGAGGATGGGCACCATCTAGTTCTTCAGGTCTAGTTCTTGAGGCCATGGTTTGCGTGGGCTGGTGGTCCTACAACCTCATTTCTTCCTCAACTCTTCGGTTTCCTTCTTTAGGGGCAAATCTCTTAAGCGGATTGAGCCCCTGGCCTGGGCAGAATGTTGTGCAAGTTATTGGGGACTTAGGGGAGATGACAGAAGACAGCCTATCTTTAAAGAGAAGATAGCAGAGCTCACATATTAGAGTACCTGCCAAGAACTTTGCTCTGTTAATTCATTGACTTCTTGACATGGACGCTATCATTATCCCTTTCATTTTATATGTGAGAACTGGGGTGTTACTCCCCGCATGCCCTTTTTTCTTTCATTTTTTTCTTGTGATTTGAGTAAAAGTTTACCAAGAAGTTTGGTTTTCCATTCAGTCATTCATGTTGGGTTATTTTATGCCTTTGATGACAGGCTCCACATTGTGGCAGCACACTTCCCACTTCCTCTCTGTGATTCTTGTTTCCAGTCATTCTTTCGTTCTGTCCATCATTCAGTTCTGTCCATCATTCAGTCATTCTGTCCATCTCTGAGCAAAAGCCACCCTTTTGATCTTGCAGGCCTGAGTGTTGTACTAAGGGATAGAATTCTTTCCTGAAGTTATTGTTCACCTTATAGGTCTGTTGTTTCACTGAAAGTTGAGCCCCAGGGTGAGTTCAGGCATAAAAGATGACTGAGTCATAGTCTCAGAGGTTCTGCCAGTCTCTATTAGATCTGCAATATGAGCATTTTAAAGATTTTCGGTTTTGTTTTTCATTTGTCTCCCCATCTATTTAGAACCCTCTGTGGCTAGCATTGAGAACAGTGGGGATTCCAGAACACTTAATTGTGCTCATTTGGAATCTATACCTAGACCAAGAAGCTATTGTCTGAATGGAACAAGGGAACACAGGCACAACATGGTTTTAAATCAGGAAGGATGTGTATCCTTCAGGAAGGGGTTGTGTCCCTTCCATCAGGAAGGTGGTGTATCCTTTCTCCATACCTAGTCAGTCTGTATGCTGAACAAATAATTCATGAAGCTGTACTCTGAAGAACATAGCATTATTAGAAGAAGACGACTTATCAACAACCTGTGTTATGCAGATGACACAACCTTGCTTGCTGAAAGTGAAGAGGATATTTAACACTTGCTGCAGAAGATGAAGGACTACAACTTTTGTTAGGGATTACATCTTCTTTAACATTAAGAAAACAGAGGTCCTCATTACAGGACCAACAGTCAACATTATGACAGACAAAGGAGTGAAGTTGTCAATGATTTCCTCTTACTTGGATCATCAGTCAACACCTTTGGTACCAGCAGTCAAGAAATCATGAGAAGCATTGCACTGGGAAAGTCTACTGTCTGGGACCTCTCCAAAAAGCTGTAGAGCAACGATGTCAGTTTTAAGACTAAGGTACACCTGGGTCAGGCCACGGTCTGACTTCTCAATCACCTGCTATGCATCAGAGAGCTGAATAAGGAATAAGAAGGAAAGAAGAAGAATTGATACTTTTTGAGTTGTGGTGTTGAAGAAGAGTGATTTATATCCCATGAATTGCTGAAGGAACAAACAGATCTTGGGAAAAGTGCAGCCAGAGTGGTCCTTGGCCCCAAAATTGACTTCATCTTTTATTCTTTGAACATATAGATAGAAAAGGACATCATGGTTGGAATAATGGAGAGTCATTGAAGGAGAGGAAAACCTCTAATGAGATAGATTGACACGCTAACACTAGAGCAATTAGCTCTAGTGTGTCAGAGATCATGAGAATGGCACTGGATAGGGGAGGATTCAGGTTGGCTGTTGATAAGGTCGCTATGAGTCACACTCGACAACACCTGACAGCAACAGCCAGAATACTCCTTAAAGGCAAAGATGACAGCTTTGTCTCACATACTTTGGGCATATTGCTAGGAAAGGCTTTTTCTCAGAAAGGGACCTCATGCTTGGAAAGGTGAAGGGTCAGTGAAAGAGGAAGGCCCTCAACACGGTGGATTGACACAGTGACTGCAGCAGTGGGCCCAGGTGTGTGAGAGTTGATGGCACAGGATAGGACAGGGATCAGATCTGCTGTTCATAGGATCATTATGAGTCATACTTGACTCAGGGCACCTAACAACAACTCTGATCTCAAGGAAGTCAGCAGTGGTGCCTGAGCACATCTAGTTTTCCTGGTCTTAAGGCCATCAAGGTTGAAGTTCTTAAGGTCCATTAGTACTAATTGTCTAATGGTAATAGTACTAATTAGACTATTTGTCTCTATATGTCTTTAAATTTCTTCCATCTTTTGTGTTTATTCTTTATACTATTTTAATTTATTTCTACTCTAAATTTTATTATTCCCATTATTCTGGTAACTGTAGGGTTTTCCCACTGTTCTTTTTCTAATTATTGGAGTTGGTAGGGAAGATACTGGGTTTTTATCCTTTCTTCTTTTTTTGATGTGTGCATTTATTGCTATAAATTGACCCCTGAGCACCACTTTTGCTGCATCCCAAATATTGTGGTATTCTGCATTTCCATTGTCAGAATGTATTTCACATTTTATTCCTCTGTTGCCCACTAGTTTTTAAACTTGATTTTTTTGTTTGTTTCCAATATTTAATTATTCCCCCCGGGTCTTCCTGTTACTGATTTCTAATTGTATATAGTGTAAAAATCTGAGAAGATGGTTTGCATTAGTTTTACATTTTTAAATTTATTAAAGCTTGGTTTTATTAGCCTGACAGAAGGCCAGTTTTGAAGAATATTCTATGTGCTCTAGGAAAGAATGAATATTGCTGTCCTGTGGGTGAAGTGTTCTTGGTATCTCTGTTAGGTTAGTTTTTCTCTTGACTGGTGCATTTAATCCATTTACATGCAGTGTAATTACTGATAGACGGTTTTGCTATAATCTTTCCTTTGTGTTTTTATTGTGGTGTAGATTTCTTTGTTTACTTTCTTGTGCAGAGTTCATCTTGTTATCAGATTGTATTTCTTTAATTGTATCTACATTTATGTTTACTGAGCTAGTATGATTTTCTTCTTGTTTCAATTAAAATATTTATTAATTTTGTGGTTTACCTGTCATTTATTTTCTTTTTCCTAAGTCTAGTGAGTTTCCAAAGTCTAAATTAATATCCACTCTCTTGATGTCATCCTGACTTCTCTCCATTTAGGAAGTTCTTACCTTAAACCATCCATCCTCTCGCTTTACTTTGGAGTCGTCATCATTTGTAGATTGCCCCTTCTGAGGCTGTAATTTCAGTCTTTCACGTTTGTTTCCCTTTAGAGAGCTTCTTTTCTGGGATGTTTAACAGGTGATGTTACCTTGTGTCTTTATCTCAAATTGTTTTCTGTTGTAATTACTTCTCTGTCCAAAGGAACTCCCTAGCATTTATTAAGTTGATCTGGTTTTCACATATTCTCCTAATTTCAATCTGTCTGGAAATATTTTAATTTCACCCCTATGTCTGGTTTTTTGTCTTTTTGGTTTTTTTTCCATTGAGGCATTTTATTTGCACTGTGTATTACATCCCTAGAAAAAGAATCAGCTCTGGTGGCCTAGTGGCAAGAAGCAGTACTGCAATCCCGAAGGCACACAGTTCAAATCCACCTGATACTCCACTGGAGAAGGATAGGCATTCTTCTCCTGTGCCAATTGGATCTGACTCGATGGTACACAATGAGAAAGAGAGAAAGAAAAAAAGAATGTGTTTCGTCTTGTTTCCTCATGGTCCATGACACCAGCTGAGGGTGTCAGTACTATGAAACCAAACTGATGGCCTGGGAGCAGATGATTCTGCCACTTTTCTAGATCTTTGAGTTACACATCAAAACTGGGCTGATAATTCCTTACTTATTTAACCTGCATGTGAAGTTGACAGCAATTTTCCCCGCTCTGTGATCATGATTGCAAATTCTCCAGGGTAGGCATGCTGCTTCATCATCATGGTCAGGAGCCGAACTATGGCTTTGGAGCCCGGCCTGCTAAGAACCTGGCGCTTGCCTCTTCTCGGCATTGTTGATGCTTCTGAGAGCGTCAGCCAGGACGTTCGTGCCCACCATTGTGGAGGCCCAGAAAGATGGCGGAAAGAGCTCATACCTGTTTTGCTAGACATGTAATTCTTAGCTGGCAGGGTTTTTTTTTCTTTTAAGGTTATATTTGTTCCATTCCTTTACTTTCTTGCTGCATGGCTTCTGCGAAGAAGTCAGGAGTTTAGGCTTTGTTGGTAACATTTCGTTTTTCCCATATTGCTCTAAGGTTTTTTTCCTTTGTCTTTACTGAGTTTTATTACAGTATCTCTTGGTCATGTTCTTTTGGAGCTTATCCTATATGGAGTTTGTTGAGCCTCTTGGATGGATATATATATTTTTTTTTCTACATGCTATTAGGGAAGCATGCTATATGCTACAGGGCCAGTAGGCAACATCATGATAGGGGGAGAAACAATTGAAACTGTTGATGATACCATTTTTGCTTGGATCCACAATCAACATCCTTGGTACTAGCAGTCAGGAGTAAAGAGAGACTTATTGCTTTGGGCAAGTCTGATGTCAGGGACCTCTCCAAAACACTAAAGAGCAATGATATCAGTTTGAAGACTAAGGTGTGGCCATGGTCTTTTCAGTCACTTGCTATGCATCCAAGAGCTGGACAGTGAATAAGGATGACAGAAGAATTGATACCCTTGAGTTGTGGTGCTGGAGAAGACTATGCCATGAATTGCCAAAAGAATGAACAGGTATGTTTTGGGAAAAGTGCAGCCAGAGTGCTTCTTGGAGGCAAAGATGTCAAAGCTTCATCTCTCATACTTTGGACATGTTGCTAGGAGATGCTATTCTTTGGGAAAGGCTATTATGTTTGTGAGGGTAGAGAGTCAATGAAAGAGAGGAAGACCCCCCTTGAGATGGGCTGGCATGGTGACTTCAGTGATGGGCGTTAGTGTATAAGAGATGATGAGGATGGCACAGGATAAGACAGGGCTCAGATCTGTTATTCATGGGGTCGCTAGGAGTCATACTTGATGGCACCCAACAACAACGATAATTCTCTCCACAGTTTTTTGTGATGTTGTTTTGTGTGTCTTGTCTTTAATTTCCTATCCTGAAATTCCCAGTGTAATTCTTGGGCTTTTTTTCTTCTCCCAACACCCTCTATTTTTCCCAGTGACCCACTCTTCAATAAATACCATTCTGATGTTTGGTGTTTCCAGTGTGTTAATCTCTCTCAGAAACTTTTTTATTACTCTTCATATTTTCTAATTCCTTTTTAAATTATTTCAAATTAGCTATTGATTTTATCCTTTTGCTCTATAGTATTTTCTTCCTGAATTCTTCTAGAATGTTGCCTAGTTTTGCCTCAGTTCTGTTTATGTTTTCCATGAATGCTGATAGCCTAAATAGATAGATCTCTTTTTTAACTCCTTAACTTTTACCTTCACTTCCTCACAGATATTTCCTGATTGATTGTTTTCATCACTTGCTTTTATCATTTTATTCTGATTTGAAGTTGCCTGCTACTGTTGTTGTTGTTGTTGTATACCATCAAGTCAAAACCGACCCATAACTGACCCTCTCGCCGGTTTTCAGAGGCAGTTAATCACACGGGAGGAGATTGCTCATCCTTCTCCCGTGGAGTGGCTGGTGGGATTTGAACTGCGAGCCTTCAGGATTGCCAGCACAGCATCTTGCCACTAGACCACCAGAGCTCCCTTGACGTATTAGAGATCTTCTTTGTTGATTTGTGTGTTGGTTTGTTTTATTTTTGTTTTGTTTTGTTTGTTTTGGTTTGTTTTATTCTTGTTTTGCTTTGTTTGTTATTTCCAGTTGGCAGCACTGGATGTGTGTTTGCTGGCTGTGATGATGTAAGAAATGAAATTTAGACTGACCCATCTTCAGAGGAGGACAAACCAGAGCTGGGATGATAAATCACGAGCTAACCCTAAAGAAACAGAAGTTGTTAAGTGACATGACAAATCCCTGGAATGTGTACGCCAACAGGATAAGGGGAAGGGAGTTGTAACAGAGGAGATGAGACTTGGGCCAAATATGGCAAAGAATGTACCTCCTGCAGTAACCAGTTAATGAGGGACTGGAGGAGAGACTTTCGAGCGAAGGTGGACTTAACCTATTTCTTTGTCTGGGCTTGGGCACGCTGTATTGCAAATTCCTTAATAAAGCCTCACCCTCGCTAAACTGATTTTGGGTTGGATTTCCCAGATGCTTGTCAGGCCAGTACTTTGGGTAACTTCTCGACAAACTCATCTAGAATAAAGTGGCCACTTCACCAGCTGGGAGAATGGCCCTTGTCAGGGGATTATACCAACTAGCCAATTGCCAAGAGGAGCTGAGACAGTCCCTCCTAGGTGCTGACAGCATTTTTCCACAAAGAGTAGGAGGGGTTGGGTGTGGATGCCCGTTTAATGATTTTGAAGAGTGTCTGCCGGTACAATGAGGGGTGTTACTTGGTCCAGTGGTGCAGGAGGGAGTGATGGTGGCATGCACTCATTCAGTAGGGTAGTAGGTGGTAAGTGTGGTAGGTATGAGCATCTACTAGTGGGAAACAGTTTCCCCCGTTCTCCAGATGCCGAGGCGAGTGGGGAAGGAGAGGGGAAATGGGTAAATATAAAAGGATCAGAAGAGGAAGGTGAGAAATAAAATAAAACCAGAACATGTAAATGGGGGGAAAAGAAGTAGACAAAAGCCTCGAAAACCAGATGACAAATGATGAGAATGGTGAAGCTTCCTTAGGTCTGAGCAGCTGTGCTGTCTTTCTTGCAGTCTTGGGAGTGTGCGCCCCTGAGGGTTCAGGCGCCTGGCATTAGGTCCACACTGGCACGTACAGCACACGTGCAGCCCCTAGTAAGAGGAACAGGCTGAGCAAACTGGGCATGTGTGAGTCAACCGTGAACTCTCCCTGTCCACTGAGTTGGTGGGGGCAGGAAGAATTATCCCTTAGCCACTAGGAAGGTGTATTGGGGAAAGCAGAGAGAAAGTCCTTCTTCCATCTGGTGTAGCAAAGTGTCTAGTTCTTACTGGTGTTCAGCCAAATGTTTAAAGTCTCTCATCTCTCTACCCCTGCCCTACAAGCCTTCCCCTGAGCATGAGCCTTCCGTCCAGAGGTGTGGGGTTCTTTCCTGCTGGGGTTCCTCACCCCTTCGCTTGCTTGCTCCCTTCGCCCACTGTAGTTGCCCCACACTTGTCAGTCTTTCACCTGCTACACCTTCCTGTCCCAGGTGATACTACACTCACCTGGCCTCACTTCAGATCTGTGTCTGCCCATGGGGATTCTGGGAAGTTTGCTTCTCTTCGCAAGTGTGTGTCTTCACAGTGGCCGGCTGTCCACTGGCACACTGCATCCTTTCTGTACTCAGCCACTGTTTTCATCCTATCTCCCTTTCTCATGGGCATTTAAGCCAATTCTTTATCTTCTCATTTGATGCTCAGAGATCTAAGACATCATCTGGAGGAAGAATGTCCAGATCCCCCCAGGCCTGTCCCCTCAGACCTTGACCATTGCTTTAAGGAGGCTTATGACTTGACAGGCTAGACCACATCCTGTCAAGGGGACTGGACGACCAGATCCTGATAAGGCCTTGGGCTAATCACGTACTGAGAAGACTCATGTCCCCGGATTCCTGAGCAAACTGCCACCCGTCTCAATCTCCTTAATAGCCCCTATAAAAGGAAACAGCTTTTGTCTGCCTGCACATCCATCCTGATATTCCCTGAACGCAGTCACCTGGCATCTCTCTCAGGTCTACTTAACAAAAGGCCTCTCCACTGTTTGGGACCAGTTTCTTCTTCTCTCTCAGTTCTCTTTTTCTATTTAACCTCATCTGTGTGTGTTTCACTTAATGATTCAGATCTCTGTGGCAGCGGGATTGAGTGACGCCATCTTGTCTTCTCCCTCACGTCCAGTCTTACAGGTCAGTTAGGATTTTAGGAGATAGGATCAGAATGTGAGAGGAGAACAGCTTCCCGCTGTGAGAGAGCCCAGCACCACCGACCTCATGAGGAGGTTTTACCTGTGATTCAACCAGAGCAGAGATTAAGGAGTGTGGCTATCCTACTTTACCTGATAGCAATGATTACCTGAAAGGCTTGTTAGAAATGCAGATCTTGATGAGCTCTGGTGGCCTTGTGGCAAAAAGCTGCACTGCAATCCCAGAAGTGAGCAGTTTGAATCCACTAGATGCTCTGCTGGAAAAGGAGGGACAATCTCCTCCTTTACTAGTCAGATCTGATTTGATGGTACACACACACAATAATAAAAAGAATTTTTTAAAAAAAGATCCAGATTTCCTGGGAGGTTCTGAGTCAGGTGGACTGAGGAGCATTTTGGGTGATGCAAACAGTTAATGTCCTGTGCTGCTGACCAAAAGGTTGGAGGTTCGAGCCCATCAAGAGGTACCTCAGAAGAAAAGCCCTGCTAGGCGGTTTCTTTTCCTCATTAGAGGTTTGATTCCTTGGCGTGCCGGAGCTGCCTGGCTTTGTCCTGAGAGAAGCTATAGACAAGGATGGCATTACCTGGGAGAGAGGATTGTGTTTTCTGTTTTCTGCACTCCTTCCCCAGCTCTCCTATCAAAGCAGTTCACGGTCTTGCGGTGTCTCTGGTGACCCTCGGGAGAGAGAGCACAGTGGATTTTCTAGAAGGCGTGAAGTCAGACCATCTCAGGCTTTGTGAAGGAGGGACCTCTCAACCAAACTCAGAGCGCTGAGTGAGGGAACAGCTTCCCTGAGCTGCTGCAACCCTCTGCTGGCTTTTCTGTCCTGTTCGTGCAACTTCTTTTCAGCATCCACAGACTGTCTGAATTTGAATGATGAGAAATGGAGCCATGTTTATCCAGTGACCTCTAAGATCACTGATCCTCTGTCCACTCTTCGGCCAACAAGCTCACATACTAGGGGCTGCCATCAGCCAGCCTTAATGAGGAGCATCCACCATCCATCCTCTTGACGTCACTGGCTGGTAAACTCCGCCATGCCCCCTTCTCTCTCCTTCAGGTTTGTGTGGAAAAGTGGAATCTGGTCAACTCCTCCCGCCGCCACCTGCCAAGGGCTTCGGCCGTGGCCTTGGAAGTGCAAAGGCTTAATGCTCTGGACCTTGAAAAGAAAATCGGGAAGTCCATTTTGGGGAAGGTATCAGCGATGCCCATTTCAGAACCCTCCTTGCACTAACACTGAGCCGCTGGGCTCTCCTCTCTGCTAACCGCTTCCTCCCACAGGCTGGCTGGGGGGGGGCATTGGGCTTGGCTTGGGCATCCCAGTCAGCTGGTCCAACCCTGCAATCTGTGCGCAGGTCCATCTGGCCATGGTGCGGTATCACGAGGGCGGGCGCTTCTGCGAGAAGGATGAGGAATGGGACCGCGAGTCAGCCATCTTCCACCTGGAACACGCGGCCGACCTGGGCGAGCTGGAGGCCATTGTGGGCCTGGGGCTCATGTACTCGCAGCTGCCACACCACATCCTGGCCAGCATCTCTCTGAAGGTGAGAAGGTGACCAGGACCCAGCCAGAGAGGCATGGTCCACCAGCTGTCCACCTGTCTCTCCACCCTGGAGTTAGTTTGAGGCCAGGCTTATCCCAGAGTCTGTTTGAATGGACAAGATTGTTTCTGTCCTTGGGTGAGGAGAAGGGGACTGTCACATATTAAACAGTGGCATGATGGGAGAATCAGAGAGTACAGATGGAAACAAGCAAGGACCACTCATCACTGGGTCAGCACAGGCGTCCTGTGGACTGCCACCTCTGTCTTATCCCAGCAACAGGGACAGATGCTTAATAGACACTTGCTGAATGAGTAGGTAGATGGTCCTCTACGTTAGCCCTAAAGGCTGAAGGGGAGAATAGTTCACATAAAGGGTGTGTGCCCAGACCCACAGATGAGAGACAAGATGCCCAGATTCAAGGGCAGGAGGTAGACCAGAAGATGAATGTGTGGAGCAGGCGGGGACGTGCAGAGTCAGGCTTGGGTCTGAAGCAGCAGGATGTGACAGCAATGGGAAATTCCATGTGGGGTCCGCACCTTCGCCCACCCTGGTTTGTGTGTACAGGGGAAAGAATTGCCGCTGTCCTGGTGAGGAACAGGATCTAACAAGGCCTTTCCTAGGGAGAGTTTGGAGAACCTGTGAGAGTGTGTGACCTTAGTGAATCTCTCACCACCCTCCCTGTCAGTTGGCAAAGGTTGTGGATGGATGGGGTGACCGGGCCAGGCTACGCTTACCAGGAGCATGGGGCACTAACCCTCTCAGTGGGCCTGGCCATAGCTCAGCAGACAGGTCATCCCATACCAGAAGAGGTTGAGAGACACTCCAGAGCCCTTTTGTTTATTTAACTTTTTAAGTAGGTAAGACATTCATAGGAAGTTTTTAGTTTTATTTCGTAGGTTTTCATACATGTTTTCTATTATTAATTACTATTGATCAGTGACATTTATCACCACACCTCCCCACATCCTCACTGCACTTTACTCATTCCTTCACTGCCCAATCCATCCACTAGTCTCTGCTAGCCTCATGATGGTTTTCCCCCCATAAGATGTTTTTTAAAGGTTTTTCCTAATAAGGAAAAAATTTACAGTAATGTTTCCCTCCCACCGTGTTTCTCATTCCATTCTCCCAACAGTTCTATATAGAGAAATACGTAGTGTAGATTTCCACAGTGGCTACAACACTGGTCAGACACAGCCGCGACTGTCTGATGGCACAGGGCTGGGCAGTGTCTGGCTCTGTTGTAAATAGAGACCTTGTGAGGCAGAGCTGATCTGACAGCTCCTCACAACAGCGCAGAGGATGAAGATTGATTAGCGGCAATCCAGGCAGCGCCTTCTAGCTCAACCCTCATGTGCTTTCTCTCTCCGCCCTTTGGTTTGTGTTGACAGGAGACGGAAGAGAATAAAACGAAGGGATTTGATTACTTGCTGAAGGCAGCAGAAGCTGGTGACAGACAATCTATGATCCTGGTGGCGCGGGCTTTTGACTCGGGTTGGAACCTCGGTCCAGACAGGTACAGCAGCACTGCGGTCCAGGTGGGCATCTGGGCTGCAGGTGGGAACCTCACTGGTCTAAGTCACCCCTCATCAGCCCAGCAAATGCGGGCAAGTTCTTTTCTCTTCTTGGCCTCGGTTTCTTCATTTGTAAAATGAGAATACTTCTAGGACATGCATCCTAAGGTTCTTGTGTGAGGGTAAAGTGAGATGGTGTTTGCATAGGACTGGGCTCAACACAATGGCTGTCATTGTCACTGTTACATAGAAATATCTACCTGGGAGAAGGGTGCAACAATGAATGAATGAAATTCCAAAATCTCTGTAGATGTTCATGGAAATGAAAAAGAAATAAATAAATTTATAAAAAAAAAGAAATATCTACCTGAGGAAATGTCCCTACATATTAAGATAGTTGTGTTGTTGTATTAGGTGCCATCAAGTCAAGTACGACTCATAGCAACCCTCTGAACAGATCTGAGCCCTGTCCCATCCTGTGCCATTGTCACCATCTCTGACATATTTCAGCCCCTTGCTGCAGTTACTGTGTCTGTCCATCTCATTGAGGAGCTTCCTCTCTTTCATTGACCCTCCACCCCACCAAGCATGAAGTCCCTTTCCAAGGAGTTGTTGTTATGTGCTGTCGATTTGCCTGCGACTCATAGTGACCCTGTGTACAACAGCCCTATATCCTGCTCTGTCCTGTTCCAGTCTCACTGCCTCCGACATACCTACCCCCTTTGCTCCAGTCACTGAATCAATCCACTGCATGGAAGGGTCTTCCTCTGCTGCGCTGTCCCTCCACCCTTCCTTCTCCAAGGACTGGCCCCTCCTTGCAACATGTCCAAAGTATGTCAGACGAAGCATCAGAATCCTTGCTGCCAAGGAGCAGCCTGGCTTCACCCTCTGTAGGACAAACCTGTTTGTTTTCTTAGCAGTCCATGGTACATTCAATACTCTTCTCCAGCACCACAGCTCAAAGACATCAATTCTCTTTCTATCCTCCCTAGTCATTGTCCAGCTCTCTGACTCATAGCAAGTGATTGCAAAGACCATGTCCTGTATTAGAGTGACACCATTGCTCTTCAGTACTCTGGAGAGCTCCCTAACAGCAGACTTTCCCATCTCAATACGTCTTTTAATTTCCTAGCTGCTGGTGCCATGAGTGTTGACTGTGGAGCCAAGCAAACTAAAGCTGTTAACAATTTCAATCTCTTCACCATCCATCCTAATGCTGCCATTTGGCCCAGTGGTGAGAATCTTTGTCTTCTTGATACTGAGCCTCAACCCATATTGAAGGCTGCAGTCCTTGACCCTCTGCAGCAAGCACTTCAGGTCCTCCTCAGTTTCAGCAAGCAGGGTTGTATCATCTGCATAATGCAGATTGTTGATTAATCTTCCACCAATCCTGATGCCACATTTCTCCTAATAGAGGCTAGCCTCCCAGATAATCTGTTCTGCATATCCAAGGAATAGATGATTTAAATTCCCACCTCCCACTTTGATTCCTAATAAGTGCATCTCATGCACAGCCACCACCACCAGTCAGTAGAAATTTGGGTGTTGCTATAATCCTGAATAAATTTCAGTAGAACGTCCCACGTAAGATGGGATAGGAAGAAAGGCCTGGCAAACTATTTTCAACAATCAGCCAATGAAAACCCTGTAATGGGAGACCTTGCTGTTGTTGCCTGGTAAACACACACAGGGGGAGACTGACCTTCTTTCTTCCTTAGCTGGTGGATTCAAACCGCGTGCCTTTGGGTTAGCTGTGCATCTCTTTACCTCTAGGCCAGCAGAGGGAAGCACTGTAATGGGTGGTGCAAAATGTAAAGTGTTCATCTACTAACGAAAAGGAAGGCGGTTTGAAACCATGTTTGAGGCACGTCAGAAGATAGAAGATAGGCCTGGTGGTCTGCTTGTGAAAAGTCACGGTCTTAAGAACCCTCCAGAGTGGTTCTGTCCTGCAGTATATGGCCTGGCCCTGAGTGGAAAGCCGCTCAACCGCAGCTGACAGAAACTGGCTTCTTATCTGAACAGTGGGACCTGGCAGAGTCATTCATGTGAGAGTTAAAAGAGAGACCATGTGTGTGGAGCTGATCAAAACCAGAACACAGTACAGATCTTGGTCATTGTATCCAAGACCAAGACCGGGCACAGGCAGTACAGCAGGACTGAGCTTCCTTTTGTCCTCTCTGCTTTGGGTCTCAGGAGTCAGGGGCTGAGTCCACATCTGCTAACAACAGGGCTTCTGTTTTTGTTTATATAGTTTTCACTTTTGAGATGAAAGGAAGAATAAGGTCTCATGGGTGTGAGTTTTCTAGAAGGGCTTTGAGACTCAGGAGTGACTGACCCCTGCAACTGTCAGTAACTTTTCATTTGTTCTTCGTGCTAGGTGGCCAACATTGGTTCATCAGTGGGCGGAGGGAAGGGTCTCTCATCTTTGAGTCCACTCCCCTACCTTGAAGCAACAGGTCCCCAAAATAGTGGTCTCTTAGGAGCAGTGGAAACATGGAGTGCTCACCCTCTTTGGTTCTGTGGGAATTCACCTGCCCCACGTTGTCCCTGAGAACGCCTGGCATGTTCTGGAAGGTTTTTGGGAGGAGCACATTCTTCAGAAACCTTCACTATTGAAGCAGATTGGCAGTGTCCTCTTCTTTGAGGTCAAAATGTTGACTCCCTTTGTGAGTCAGAACTGTGACCCTGTAACAGTTTTGCCCCATGGCTAGATCTCAGGGTAATCCTCTGGGCATATGGCATCCTGCCCATATGATAGATAACACAGTCTAAAATTTACCAGATGCCCACAGCCTCATACATCATGTGTGTGTGTGTGTGTATGTGTGTGTGTGTGTGTGTGTGTGATTTCTTTTAGAGGAATCAGCAAAAAAATAGTACCTATAAGCAGAAGTTAAAGATGTCCAACTTTTCTAAATTACTGTGTTGTTGTTGTTGTTGTTATGTGTTGTCGAGTCACCTGCGACTCATAGCGGCCCTATGTACAACAGCCCTAGACCCTGCTCTATCCTGTGCCAATCTCACTGTCTTTGACACACCCACTCTGATTAACCCAGTCACTGAATCATTCCATTTCGTAGAGGGTCTTACTCTCCTGCACCATCCCACCACCCTCCCAAGCATGACGTCCTTCTCCAAGGACCTGTCCCTCCTTACAACATGTCCAAAGTATGTCAGACGAAGCCTCAGAATCCTTGCCTCCAAGGAGTAGCCTGATTTAACCCTCTCTGGGATGAACCTGTTAGTTCTCTTAGCAGTCCATGGTATATTCAGTACTTTCATCTCTGATATTCACTACTCCTCATCTACAGAGCTGTCCTTGTCTCTGTCTTTGGATTCTGTAATTTACTGGAATCTTTCACAAAAACCAGAGGCCATCCGGGAAACACCTCATGCAGTAGTGGAATCTGGGAAGTCCCAGATCTGTGGGTCAAGTTCTGTCTGGAGGGCTTCTTTGTCTTGTGTGGCCTAAAGGGTTGTAAACCCAAACCACCAAATAAGAAGATGGGTCACCAGTGCATAAGGCAGCTCCCACTCACGTGACTGCCCCATCAGCTCAGATGATAGGCTGGCTGCTGGATCGGGTCAGCTGACCCGCCAGTGGGTTTTCAGAGGCTGTAAATCGCGTGGGAGGAGACTGCACATCTTTCTCCTGTGGGGCCACTGGTCAAGTCAGACTGCCCTGCTATAACCAGTGCAACCCCTGCCAGAGCTCCCTAATGGTGAAGACTGTCCCATGAACCCTGGAGACAAGCCAAGGCTATTAGCTTTCACCACTGCTAGTCAGCAGCATTCTTCTGGAGCTCCTGTCTGAAAAGTCACTGAAGGGTCAGTTATAAATCAGTTCTGACTTGATGGCACAGAACAACATGATTCTTTCTTATTTGACTTTTAACAGGCATTCACTCCCCTGCTTATTCTGGGTTTGAAGACGTCTGTTTCTCATACATCTTTATGGCCTTGTCCCAGAACTGTAGAGCCCAGTTTTGAGAACAAATGCGCATCTCTGGCACAGATGGGGCAGGTGTACCTAAGGAGTAGGAGGAGCCTTGGTAGTCCAGCAGTTCAGAACTTGGTCAGCAGTTTGAACCCATCATCTGTGTCGTGGAAGAAAGATGTGGCAGTTGGCCTCTGTGAAGACTGCAGCCTGGGAAACCCTATGGCAGCAATGCTTAGTCCTATAGGGGCCATTATGAGTCAGAGCCAACTCAGGGGCAGTTGGTTTGGGCTTGTATATAAGGTAGGGCCATAAAATGGAGCAAGGCCCAGATTTATAACTAAGGAGCTTTAGTCCTCTCAGCTAGGTCTTGGAGAAAGGGCAGCCAGAGTGCTCCTTGGAGGCAAAGATGCCCAAGATTTAGGATCCTGGTGTATCATAAAAGCTTTACCATCTTCGCCTCACATAGCAGGAGGTGCTATTCCTTGGAGAGGAACTTCATGTGTGGAAACTAGGGACATCATGCTTGGAAAGTTGGAGGGTGATCAGAAGAGAGGAAGGCCCTCAACCAGGAGGATTGACAGAGTGACTGCTGCAATGGGCTCTAGTGTGTCAGGTAGTGTGAGGTTGGCACAGGATAGGACAGGGTTCAGATTTGTTGTTTATAGGGTCGCTATGGGTCGTACTTGACACAACGGCACCTAGCAACAACAACAGTCCTTTCAGAAAGGCACGTGCTCTGAATCTACCAGCTGCTCCGCAGGAGAAAGAGGGGCAGGCTTCTTCCAGGTGATTTACAGCCCCTGACATCCCGCGGGAGGATCAGCTATGAGTCAGTAGTCAGTGGTACATAACAACTAACAGTCCTCCCAGAAGTTATAGTCTACAAGGAGAAGGAAAGTTGTTGGGAATCCCAAGGTCATGTTGAATGGAGGTAGGCAGTGAGGGTCCCCTGCTTTCTCTCTTTAGTATTGTTGGGGCAGTTTTATTTGCTCTGCAGAACTGGGGAGGATTATAGTTGAACAAATAAGAGCTCTTCTAGTCCAGTGTCAACAGCTGCCTGCACTGGGTGTGTCAACAGTCATTTTCAGATAAGTTTCCTTATACTCTGTTTATAAAGTAAAATGGAGTCAAGGTTATCTGCTGAAAACTTACAGTCAGACATTTGTTTACAGTTGCTCACTCAGCAAACACTCCTTGAGCCTGGGCTCTGGGGCACAGTAGTGAACTCAGCCGTGAGTTCCCTGCCTCCTTGGAGCACGAGCTCTCATCTAGGGAGACTGATAATAAATACAGGAACAAGTAAACAGGAGAACTGCAGATAGAGGCCATGGTGTCCAGAAATAGGGGAAAGAGAGGAGGAACCAGCTGTGTAAAGAATTGTGGGGAGAATGTTCCAGTCAAAGGGAATAGCAGGTTCGAAGGCCATGGTGCAGGCAAGAGCTTGGCTTGTTGGCAGGAGAGCGAAAGCGAGAGCGAGAGAGCCCCCTGTGAGCCTGGCATAGAGGGGGATTTGCAGATGCTGAAACTGGAAGGCAGACAAGGCCTGTCAGGGAGCTAGGGGGCAGGCAGGAAGCCATCACAGACACTGCTTCTGGAACATTTCGTGAGATTCAAAGGCTGCCTTACGTGGGTATCTTTCTGCTTTTTCCTGATGGAACTGTAGTTACCCACATGTTCAATAATACGAAGTTGTTATTGTTGTTGTTCTTGTTGTGTGCCATGGAGTCAGAACCAACTCCTAGCTGACCCTCCAGCAGGTTTTCAGAGGCAGTAAATCGCATAGAAGGGGATTGTGTATCCTTCTTCCACTGAGCAACTGATGGATTTAAACTGTGTGCCTTTGGGATTGCATCACAGCTTCTTAGTACTAGGCCACCCGAGCTCCCAAATGTGCAGTTAGAACACACGCATAAGAGGTCTGTGCTCCTGTTTGCTCTGTCTTTTGTGGTTTTAGGTTTAGTTGGAACCTAAGTATATCCTTGGCAGTCTGACCATGTGTGTGCTGCAACAGGAAGAACATTGAGGACAGAATAGAAAGGAGCCCTGGTAACACAGTGGTCAAGTTCTTGGTTGCTAACTGCCGGGTCAGCAGTTCATGTTCACCAGCCGCCCAGTGGGAGAAGGGTGTGGCAGTGTTCTCCCATGGACTGCAGCCTTGCAAACCCTCTGGGCACTTCTACTCTGTCCTTTAGGGTTGCTGTGAGTCAGAAGATAGCAAGAGGAGAGGTAGTGGTGGGTCCACATTAGAGCATAAGATGGGGTCAAATGACTGCTCTTGGTCAGATGGCCTTGGAGCCCTCAGCAGAGGGCCCACCTCACCTCTTCTACCCAATCCTAAGGGCTCCCAATTAGCTTGGACACCCTACTATCCCATAGGGTGATTTGAGGAAAAGGAGAAAATTGCTTCCCTTCATTAAGATCCTCTACTTTCTTCTGTTGGGAAAGTCCTGTCATACTCCTTTTTTTTTTTTTAATTGTATTATTTTTACGTATACCGTCAAATCAGTTCTGACTGGTACAGGAGGAAATTGCCCCCTCCTTCTCCAGCAGAGCGTCTGGTGGATTTGAACCACGTACCTCTGGGATTGCAGTGCAGCGTCTTGCCATTAGGCCACCAGAGCTCCCTTGATACCCCATTTTTGTGAGGGGAAAGTCAGTCCATCTTGCTCCAGGAATAAATACACTCGACGGCACCCGTGGGATGTGGTGGGGGTAGATACCCAGGATAGGAACTGGAGGTGTGACCCTGCTGACATCCCTGGCTCGCTCCTGTTGCCATGGTGATCCGTGTCTTTCCACAAGGTCCCCAGACTGGTCAGAAGCCCTGCGCTGGTACAGCACTGCCTTGAAGACCACGGACTGTGATGAAGGCGGGGAATACCATGGGATGCAGGATGAACCCCGGTACACCTTGCTGGCCAGGGAGGCTGAGATGCTGCTGAAAGGCGGCTGTGGGCTGGAGAAGGACCCGCGGAGATCAGGTAAGGCTTTGGGGTGGGCCGGCTGCACAGAGGTGGCAGGATTCCCCCAGTCCACTGGGAGTCATGGCAAAGTGCAAGGCTGGTGTTCCTCCCTCAAGAACGTGGTGGCTCAGGTCTAGGAGAAAGGACCACACTGGCCCCATGTTTGGCCACTGTAGCCCAGGAAGGGGCTTTATGGAGCGCACGTGTAGATGAACATCTGTATTTTAATGGTTAGTTACTAGTGCTTTGGCAATTTAGTGCCAAAGCTTTGAGCTGCCACACCAAAGGCAAAAAGTTTGAAACCACTAGCCACTCTGTGGGAGAAAGATGGATGATTTCCTCCTAGCTGATCTACAGCCTCTGAAAACCTGCTGGAGGTCAGCTATGAGTTGATTCCAACATAACAGCAAGAAGTTAACTACCAGTGAAAAATCCACTGCCATAAAGTTAATTCCAACCCGTGACTGCTCTGTGGGGTTTCTAGTGGCTGAATTTTGAAAGCACATTACCAGGCCATTCTTTGTCGTCACTTTTGGGAGGAATTAAACCACCAGGCTTTCATTAGCAGTCAGGCATATTAAGTATAATCCCAGAGATTCCTCTTGGATACAAATTTTGTATTTATTTGCAATTTTAAAAACATAATGTTTTCGGCCTGATCATCATTGGCTCATATTAAATCAACAGCTCACATTGGCTGCGCCTTAAACCAATCACTAGTTTACCATGTCTGGGCCAATCCCGATGGCTTATTGTGCTTGGAGGCGGGCTTAGATTGCTGATTGGCCATTGTGGAATTATATGCCGTTCTTATTGGCTCGTGGGGGAGGAGTCGTGGTTTCTGCGATGGAAATCCAGTTGTTGCCCCGGGAAAGGGAAGGCTTCAGGGCTGCACAGCTGTCAGTTGTGTTCCCTCCTTCAGCTCCGCTTTGCTGCTTTTCAGGCGATTTGTACACAGAGGCAGCTGAAGCAGCCATGGAAGCCATGAAGGGCCGCCTGGCCAACCAGTACTACGAGAAGGCAGAAGAGGCCTGGGCCCAGATGGAAGAATAACGCGCCCAGAGAGCCGCAGCCGCAGGAGCAAAAGGACTAGGAGAAAACAAACAAGACTTACTGGGTTGGGGGTGGGAGATGGGCTATTTTTAATGTGATATAAAAATCAACTTTTGTATTTCCTATTTGCACTCTTGACCGTGCCTTTGCTCCAAGCAAAGGCACCTGCTGCCCCCTAGGGCAGCATTTGGGGAGTGGGGATTGAAAAAGCAGCATAATGAATGAACCAACATAGGATTTTGAGTTTTGTTTTGTTACGTGTGCGAATGCTCTTCTGCCTTAAATGGGAATATGAGAGCCTCGCTCACTCGAGCAGGACTGAAATCCGAGGCCCGCAGCCCGTGTATATCCCGATGATCGAGAGAAAAGATCTGCACGCTCGTTATTGATGGTAGAAGTGAAGTCATCGAGACTTTGCAGAATGCCTCCTTCCTCGGAGTCTCAGAAGCCACAAAACATCTTCCCGTGGATGAGAGACTAACACCCAGACCCTCCTGCTTGTTTTCTAACCTTTTCCTGGTAATCTCCTTCCCCTAGCACCACGGATTGTCTGGGATGCAACCAGAAACTGGTTTTGCGCATGCTTCCTGCAGTGGGCTTTACTGAAGAGGTTTGACTTTTATACACACACGTGACTACCTCTAACTTATGCATCAGCAAGTGTGGAAGTGGGTGCACCCCAGAGCTGCTGGGTGGGTGACAGGACAGTGGCTTGGAATGTCGGAGCCTTCCAGCAGACACATCTCGGGCATCTCAGTGGCAGCTGACACATGCGACTGAAGTGTCTTTTGTACAGAATTCCTAAGTGCTATTTTAGCAGCTGATGTCCTGCAGTATCTGTTCCCTAGCCCCTTCTTGGGCATCTTCTCTTTGGAACTAGATAAGTTCTCTTTTGCAGCATGATGCTTTCAGCAGCAGCCCCTTGAAATGGATTCTCTTAAGATGTTTGGGAATGAGAGAACACAGACTGTAATTCTGGTAGTTTCCCAAAGGCTTGGTTATCCTCATTTAATGAGCCTTTCCTTTGAAAGGTATTCAGCCAGCTTTCAGTTAGGTATTTCAAATAGAAAAAAAAAAGAGGTGGTATTGGTCAACCCCAAGTGCTATGTGTTCATTAAAATAGGAGTGTCACCACTAGTGCCAGTGAGTCGGGCACCTGTGTAACCATTAGGCTCCAAAGTCCACAGTGTGCCTCTAATATAAAAGTCAAGCAGAGTCAAGCTTACTCTTGAAATATCCCCAAAATCTCCCCTCAAACACTACCCTGGATATTCATATATGGACATAATAAAGTCAGTTTTCCTATGGAAGTTAGCAAGGAAACACTGCATGGTTCAAAATCAGGAAAGAAGTACATCAAGGATGCATTCTGTCTGCATACCTTTTCAGTGTCTGTATGTGGAAGTGATAATTTGGGTGACTGGGCTTTATGAGGAGGAATGTAGTATTGGGATTGGAGGAAGACTCATCAACTACCTACTGTATGCAGATGACACAACATTACTTGCTGAAATTGAGGACATGAAGTGCTTGCTGCAGAAAGTCAAGGGCTATAGTCTTCAAAATGAATTGAAGGGTGCTCACTTTGGGAGCACATAAACTAAAATTGGAACGATAAAGAGAAGTTTAGCATGGCCCCTGTGCAAGGATGAGATGCAAATTCTGGAGCATTCTTTCTTTTTTCTTCTTCTTCTTTTTTTTAATGAATTGAAGGTCAAGACAAAGATTGTCACCACTGGGCCAATTGGCAACACTATGATAGATGGAGGAGAGATTGAGATTGAGATTGTTAACAATTTCAGCTTGCTCAGATCCACAATCAGTACTCTTGGCACCAGCAGTCAGGAAATCAAAATACTAACTGAACTGGGAAAATCTACTGTCAGGGACCTCTCCAGAGTTCTGAGGAGCAATGATGTCATTCTAGAGACTAAGATGTGCCAGATGCAGGCCATGGTCTTTGCAGTTACTATCTATGCATTGGAAAGCTGGACAATGACTAAGGATGACAGAAGAAGAACTGATAACCTTTGAGTTGTGGTGCTGGAGAAGAGTATTGACCATACCATGGACCACCAAGAGAACAAACAGGTTTTTCCTAGAGAGGATGAAACCAAGTTTCTCCTTTAGAGGCAAGGATTTTGACGTTCTGTCTCACATACTTTGGGCCAGGAGAGACCAGTCCTTGAAGAAGTACATCGGCCTTGGAAGGGTGGAGGGACAGTACAGAAGAGGAAGACCCTGGGTGAGATGGATTGACACAGTAACTGGGGTAATAGGGGTAGGTTTGTTAAGAGTCAGTGAGACTGGCTCTGGACTGGACAGGTTTCAGAGCTGTTGTACATAGGGTCGCTGTGACTGGCAGGTGACCCAATTGCACATTATAACAACAGCAACAACCCCATCTGCATCCACACCAGATCCAGCGGTTGACTTGTGTTAAATGTTTTGTTTTGTCCTCATTTTCTTTTTTAAAAATCCAGTGCCTATTGTTAAATTGCAGATGCTAACTGCATGTAGAAAGCAACTCTGTTGTGACTTGTCTCTTCAAAGTAATCTAGACTCATAACAATTGCTGCTCTTTTGCTTTCCTGCTTTTGATTCACTAAGCTTCCTCTCACTCTGAGATTTTTGCTAGATGAATACTTGAGCTCCTTAATCACCTGTCACATTTCTTAATTCTTTATCAGCTCTTTTCTTTAACCCAGGGGTTCAGCAAACCCTTTTTTTATGGAAGACCTCAGAAAAACTTTCTTGCTGTCAGATTGGAACCAGTTCATAGCTGACCCTCCAGCGGGTTTTCAGAGGCTGTAAATCACTCGTGAAGAGATTGCTCATCCTTGTCCAGCAGAGCAACTGGAGGATTGGAAGCACTGGAGAGGCATTGCCTTTTTGTTAGTGCCGTTCCCCTGGACTCTGCCACCCCAAGTCCCTATGAAGGGCCTGTAGAAAACCTTTTCCACTTTTCTGGCCGTATAATCTCTCAATTATTGAACTCTGACTTTGGTGGTGCAAAACAGCCATTGACAATATGTAAATGAATGAATGTGGCTGTGTTCCAATAAAACAAGTGGGCCACCTGGACAACAATGAGTTTAGGCCTTTGACTGAAAGTTGACTGAGAGCTACTATTTAAAACTGAGGACAAGAGTTGTTTCAACTTTGTGGCCTTCAGGGCCACCTTGTCACAAAGTCAGCCAAATAAATTAACAAATGTAAAGTCAGCTTGACATCACTGGGTTCTCTTCGTTGAGTTTCTGGTTCTTTCATCCAATTTATGATTCGTTCAGCTGTCTGGCTTGAACCGTCACTTCCACAATTCTGGCCACACTTACCAACATGGCCTTTATGTTGGTAGGTAGCCCCTTCTCCAGGATGCTGGGATGTCCCACTAAAAATGAAAACTAGAAAAAGAGATGCTGAGTTCCTTCTAAGCCAGTAAAGTTTAACTTCCAAACCTGAGTGTGTGCCTTCACAAGCTAGTTAGGGCATGTTTTCCCACAAATGCTTGGTACGCCAAAAGGTATCCAGTGACATTCAGTTAAACTGGAAAGACAACCAAGGCTAGACAGCAAGCAGACAAAGCCCTAGGAGAGCAACAGATGGGGGACATAATCCTAGAGCACCTTCATTTCACAAATGAAACAGTGTCTGAGAGTAGAGTGACATTGCTAGTCCACAACTAAAATGGAGCTGGGGGTTAAGAGCTGCCATTATTTAGAGAATCCTGGGGGTAAGATCTAAGGTTAAACTGGAGTTTCCTAGCCCTTTCAGTTTTGCTACAGATAAAAGACAAAAACAGACTGTAGAGAGAAATGGTGGGGGGAGGGAAGAAGGAACCCCAATCTCTGTATTTTGGCTTATTTTTATCCCACTTTCACCTGAGGCTCTGTGAAAATTTATCCCAAAGCAAGTCAACCTTGACAAATCCTGGTAGGTAAACTGCCCTTCAACATAGCAGGTTTTGTGGCTTTATTTCCTTTGATCCTTGGATGTTTGTCTGCAGTCTCAGATCTGTTTTACCAATCAGTGAATGTTCCAGAAAGGCTATGTACACTGCTGTGGGAGAGAAGGACAAAATATGCTGGCTCTATCTGAAGGTCTGTGCTTGTCTCTCTGTAACTGTGTAAGCTTATCCTCTGAAGCGTCTAACCCACCTGGACCAGATGGAAGCGAGTTGGAACCCCCAGAGAAATGCCTTGCATTACAGGTTTATTTTGGGGTATATATTCAGGCCTATTTCCTCTTTCTGAATAAAGTGGTTTCTTTGTCTCCTGTCTCAACTTGTCTGTTCTCAGTCAGGTGAAGTGGCTGAGGAGGCTGAGGTGAATGTCACATCTGAGAGAGGCAGGTACAGTTTAAAGCCGCAGGATTGTTGCCGTGGGGAATGTGGACCCTGCATTGCCCCGTCTTCCATTCTGTCCTCCCCCAAGAGCTGCTGAAAATGACAATTTTTAATGCAAAATTATTGCTGTATAACTTCTGGAATAAATTCTTACGTGGGGGGGGGATCTTTCATTTCTGGCCAGAAACTTGTGCTTTCTTTTGCTTTCCAGAAAACGTGAGACTCAATAATACCTGTAAATATAAAACAGTATATTCTCTACCTTTACAAGGTTTCAGAGGAGATAATGCATGTTCAAGTATTATGTGATCTGGAACTCGAGAAAATACTGATCTCAAGAGAATGTGGTTTTCACTTTGGAAACATAAATGCATGGAAGTCTGCTGTCCCATCCTGAAGGCATTGGCTGCTATTGGTGAAGGGCAGAAAACGGCTGCTTCCCTGTTTATGTCTGTTACACTGAGCCGACAAAAAGTTCAACCTGCAATAATTTGAGAAAAATATCTCTTTGCTAGTGGGTAAGGAGTTGCATTGCCAAACCAAAGGTGGTGGTGGTTCTGTGCTGTTGAGTCGCCTGCAACTCATAGTGACCCTGTATACAACAGCCCTAAACCCTGCCCTATCCTGTGCCAATCTCATTGTGTCTGACGCACCT